AAGACACTTTGGCCGAGTGGTTAAGGCGATGCCCTGCTATCTACAGGTATCATAGGCATTGTGTTCGCACGCGCAGGTTCGAATCCTGCAGGTGTCGTTGCTTTTTTTGCGTCTGCCGCAATGACGATTCCTTTTTATTGCTGCTGTATTCTGTCCGTATCAGCAGTAAGCCATGATCTCACTGGTGGTTTGTTTGCATTCGCGGCAGAGTGACATTCTGTTTCTTGGCAACTGGAAATTACATGCTACGCACGAACTGCATCGCTTGTGCATCTAACATACAAAGAGTATCTTATCAGGTTGTGAAGACAAATCCATAATGACAAAATGAGATCTCTCTCCTCTGTTTTCGTGGAACAGGGAGGAAGAAATCTTGAGAGAATGTGTGCCCCGTGCCAAGTGAGATGCATGAAGAGAGAAACCTCGCCACATCTCTTGCATGGCAGCAGTAGAAGTCGATGGGTAGATGTTAAATCCAAGATCAGTAGATGTAGTAAATATAGCCTGTCATCTGTATCCCTCAAGCCAAGCCTTATCACCAAGTGTCTAGGCCGAGCTCTTAACGTGGGTGATTTCGATTTCATCCTTTGCCAATGTCAGTAACAAAAGACTCGCCGTTGAGTGAAGCTCTTTCTTACCTTGAGATCTCCAGGTTGAATCAATCCCACCACTGCGGTGCTCTCCAGCCTCGGGTGGTCTCTGACATACTTGCGATACTCAGGGGCGCCTGGCTTCACCACATTGTCGGCCGCAATCACCGCGCCCTGTTGCAAGAGCCCCAGTTCCTCGCAGACCTTGAAATCAGAAACGTACAAATCCTCGACGTGGTCCAAGAATAAAAAGTCAATCTTGTTCAAATCGCCCTTTTCATGCAGCTTCCGCAGAGACTCTTCCGCAGGGCCAGTGACGACCTTGACGATGTCGGACAGCCCCGCAAGCATAATCAGCTCTCTAGCAATGGCTGAAAATTCGCTGCTCATCTCGAGACTCAGCACGCGGAGCTGTTGATCTGGCTTGCTGTTGCGGCGCATGGTGTCTGCAAAGAGAATGGCCGAGTATCCCAGGTAGCCGCCCAGTTCGACGAGAGTCTGGGGATTTTCTTTGGTGACCAGGTCGGACATGATCTTGGCCTTGTGGCCGCCGATGCTGATGAGAAAGTCATGCTTGGCCGAGTATTCGTCAATGACGGAGAGAAGCTTGGAGGGATTGCCCCTCATGTCATGTAAATGGGGGTGAGAGAGGATGAAGGAGAGCAGTCGCTCTTCGCGGCCATCGTGAGACTAAAATAAAGGGGAAGCTTAGCGACGTGCTTAGAATCCTTTTTTTGCGCTCACTTTCTTTTTTAATTGACAGTATTAGGGGGAATAATACCTCGACGCCAGTCTCGATCGGCCCCCTCAATGAGGGATATTTCTCAAGAAGTGCAACGATTTCTGGTGGGTGGTCCATTTTGGAAGGGGGCTCGTAGTTTTGCCACGCGATGGAGGGGAAAGGTATGACGATGGAATAAGCTCACAGCTTATGAAGAAAGCTCAAGGCAGCTTGTGGTTATTTTGGCCCTTAGTTCTTCCGTCGAATTCACCAAGTTAGCTTCAGTGTGACACATTGAAAAAGAAAAAAAGGAGGTTTAAGTTGATTTGAGAAGCTGTGCGTGTTATGTGTAAGAGTGACGAAGGATTCAAAGGTCCCCGCTGTGTGCATGTGCTAGTACCCTTTGAAGAAGCTCCCGATTAACAGCTGGAGCTGCGATTCACGGGGTTTAATCACCGAACAAGCGAGGTTTGTCATAGTGCTATTATAATTAATTATTGGTCGTTGAATATTATTTTCGTATTGCATTGTGTGGATTGTGAGAGATAATCGCTAGATTGGTAGAACAGCCTCGATTAAGGGATGCGTGTGAGGAAGCGCCGTATTCACAATTGCTTACCCCTGAATTTTGAATCCCAACCTGCCTGACCACACACCTATGACGTGGAAGTTTGCGCAGGAGGTGAATTGTGCGCCTGCGACCAGTGTCTCCCTCTTGTGCGACTCTTGCCGATAAAAAACACCCGCGATCAGATCGGAGCTCTGGAATGCCGAGGACTGAAATGGACAAACATTGTGATTCGGGTATTACGTAGGGCCAATTTGTGATTGTGATAGCCGGGAGTGCCTTTTTTTTTTTTTTTTTTTTTTTCTCTCCTGTTGGCTGCTTTGATACGAGCAGCATGCTTTGATGTAGATGCCAGAGGAAGTAGGGTCTGGCGCGTGTACGTGTGGCAAATGGTATTATCGAGAAATTTCTGACACTCGACGATTCCTTGTGGAAAAGGATTTACATGCCAATAAAATTTCCTGTAGAATTATCTAGACAGAGGTGTTAACCAGTGTAGTAACAAATGGGAGGTGGCGGATGATCTATTGAGAAATACTGGCTCATGTAGTCCTCCCTGTCTCTATTGTCGTCATGAAATTCTGCACTTAGGCCTACATTTCGAGCAGCAGGGGGTGGCAAACAAATCTCTGTAAATATGGCGAGATAAACATGGCGAGAAGGAATGACGAGAACAAATGTTTATGCAAATAACTGCTTCTTAGAGATGGCTACTCAACAGCGTTAAATAAGTGAACTAGGAGGTTAAAGAGTTCCTTCCACGACTAGGAGGGCCACGAGTGTAGAGAGCATCACCAAGCCCACTACTGGATCGTTTCACCGACTTACAGATGAGTCTTGCAGTCCGTGGCCTGATGAGGAGGCAACCACCTCCTATCCACATATGCATTGGTTTGCGTCGAAGTATCTCAGCTTCTTAGCTGGATTGGCCAATCGTGCTCAAAGTAACATGCAAGAGCCCAACACCTAAAAATCCTATGCGAGAATGTTGAAGAGAATATTTACATCATTTACATCATATGTCCAGATAAACAAGGCTGGGGATGCATTACATGTATGACATTCAATATTTACACAATATGAGTCAATCCTAGGGCAGAGCGGCATTGATTGCCGTACAAAGAACTTGACAGTCACATCATTACCTACTTTTTATTACCCCTTGCATGATATCCAAGACTTTGTGTCCAAAACGATGCAGTGGTAGTCTAGATGCTGAATTGCATTCAAGACACGTACGAGTCGAGTCGTGTCTCATGTCACGTCAGTGACGGAAGCCTGGCCGAGACATTGGACCCTCAATTCCCGACATCAGCTGAAGACATCATGTGCCTGGTCGCTGCCGTTTACCGCGCAGATTCGAGGGAGTTTCTCCATACGAGTATCCGTAATTGCCTCGAAGCTGTCAATATATTGCAAATGGATTCGGATGACACCGAGAACTCGCATTGCCACCTGCCATCACCCGCATTGCCTCCCTGCAGCGAGCGACATCGGCAATGAGGCTATCCATATCAAACCGGCCTATTCAACAAACGTGGCCTCTTCTCCAGATCATGGCCGAGAATGACTCCTAACTCAAGGGACCGGTGGAGTCTTCAACTAGCCAACGTTTAGCTGGTGTCTGGCCATGTTTTTGCTTGTGCTCACCCGGACACGGAAGCACTCGGCTGAGACTTTGCCACGGCGTCTCCACACCGGGGCTCCGTGCAGAGAGGCAACGCTACTGGGGAGGAGGCTGAATGATGCGCCAAAAATACCGCCGAGGCACCGATAAGGAGTTTGTTGATCTCGGCCGGTTTCAGCAGGGAATCTGGATAAGAATTTACTGTTTGTTTGTTGGTTTGTTTGTGTAGTTGAGATGACGCAAAATAGAACTAAGATTGACTCGTACTCGCACTTTGTAGCTGTGCTCGTACTCCGTTGTACGGAGCCAGACGATGGCGCCTGCACTAAGATGACCAAGAGGGCAGCACGGAGCATTTACGGCCTCTGCATGTACACCGTACCCCGCTTAGCTGCGGCTGGCTCACCGGGTTGACCGTACCCAGTACCTGCCTCGAGTACCGAGCACAAGTCCACTTGACAACGTCACTAAAGTCTGGGGAAACGGGGCCCAGGGGTCCAGAACAAGGCAGCAGTGCCGCAAGCGGGCGGGTGCGTGACTGCAGAGGTGCAGCAACAAGCGTCAGCCCAATTGGAAAGTCAATTGAAGCAGCAATTGGGAGCGAAGGAATTGATCGCGATTGGGATTGGATTGGATTGGGGAGACACAAATGGAAGAAGGAAGAATAGCTTCACTGCACTGTGCAATCCAATTCAAATTTTAATGCAATGCAACCCGCTGGACCATCCAAGTTTCAGCGGGCAGGGAGGCCCAAAAGGAGGCGGAAGGGCACAGCGTAGCGCTTGTTGCGTCAGGTCACGCGATATATGGTCCAACCTAATGCTATTGAGCCACATCGTCGTTCTAGGCAAGAACGCACGCGGCAAAAGCAGGAAAGCACGCACGGAGTACACGGCCTCGAACCCGACAAAACTGCAGGTCACCGGCAGGTCATGAGCAGGTAGAGTCACCCGTTGGCTCGCCGCTTGCGTGGATTGATTTCGGTGGGCTCAGCGGTCGATCGGTACATGGCCAGTACCTGACGCCATCGAACTTTTGCCCACCCCCCTCCCCTCTTTCTCCTCAGCGATTGCTTCAACAAATTTCCATCTTCTTACCCAAGTCAATTGAGCAATCCCGCCCAATTCACCTCACCGTTGCGGCCCTCCCAGCCTCGCCATTGGCTGATCTTGCTTCTCCCGTCTGTTGGCGCCACCCCCGAGACGTCTCGCGTGACACCTTGTGATAGAATGCTGCATCCATTCACCTTGACATACAAAAGCCCAAACTGCCCAGCTTCCTCACAGCTCTCTTTTCCCGACTCATCTCATCACATCTCTCACACGCATATAACCTCCATCTCTCAACCTCATCATCTCTCTCTCATATAACAAGCACAACAACACCAACAACATCAACATACACACTCCAATCCCAATTCATCAACTCTCAAACTCCTCCAGCCACCGCCTCCATCTTCTCTCTTCCATCCAGAGCAACCCCATAAACGGTGCCAGCCAAAAAATCACTGCCACCCGTTCCGGCAACGCCTCCTCACCCTTACTCCAACTTTGTCTCCCTCTCCCATCTTTCTCCGGCCAATTCGTCGCCATTGATCCCCCCCGCTCTGCCTCCGTCTTACCCCTTCTGCGCCTAGCTCTCATTTTGTCGCCTCTCACCATCCATCCATCAAAAGTAAGTTTCCAGCTGCAGTTACGCACCCCCGCATCTGTATCACGTCTCTCCCTATTACTGTTACGCTGCGACGTTTCTCCTTTCCTCCATCCAGTTCGCCCCTCTCACACACCGCATAGCATCTACAATTACATCTACATATCACATCAGAGGCCAACTGTCTGCGGCCTCTTCTATCAGATCCTGATTAACCAACCACACATCACTCAAACAGTCAGCCTAGAGCCCATTCCCAATGATACCCATTTTGCCGAGATCAGCATGCTAACCTGGTCGTCTTGTAACAGTGACTCGTTCTCACAAGTACAACGACCGTGACCACAAGGGCATTGCCGATGGCAGCGTCTCTCCAACAGAAAACCTGCCTCGCTTCTTCGCCAAGAGCGGCTACGTTGATGTTGACCCCAAGAAGGTCAAGAAGGACGGTTGTGGTAAAGGCAACTGGTACGTCATTACACTGTTTGATCTTGTTCCACCGCATGATTCACTTTACTAACAATGGATTCCATTACAGGGGAAGCGCCGGCGAAGAAGTCGTGGATGAGGGTTTCCGCTTCACCAATGCCCGCCGTCGCTCCAACAGCTTTTCCCACCAACATCTCTCTGACTTCAAGACCAAGTTTGAGGTGAATGAGGTTGACCCTCTCTTCGAGGAGCATCTCCACGGACCTCTTGATGAGGAGAACGGCGACGACCTCTCCAAGACGGACTCGGCCGAGAGTGTCCACTCCGTCTAGACGAGACAAGTCGTCTCGCATGCCCCAGAGAGCGCTGCTATCAGTCGTGCCTACCCTCGATTTGTCTGAATGCCCTCCCACGATACATCATGATTCATATTTACTATAGCTTTTTTTATTCTTCTCTTTTTTCTTTTAATAGGGAAGGAATGGGACAGTGGGATATGACAGCCACGGAACCAGACATGACGGCACTCATCTGAGGCCGAACTCATGATACATACCCGCCGTGACGTTGCTTTGCCGGCGGGATGACATGTATCACTGTATAATACGCTTTTCTTATTTTTCTACCAATGATATGAAGGCTGGGGCTCTCTGATAGAACCAATCAAAGCCGTGTAACATTTTATGATAGCTTGCGTTCATTCGTGAAGAGTGGTTCACTGTTTACATTGCTCTGAAAGCCACCGGGATGCTTATCTGCAGCCCCTCGAGCGTCACGTCAACGGCTGCGATCCCAGCTACGATTTGCCCGAGTCATTAATCAATGCCCTCAGACGACACGTAAGGCCTTACTTGAACAAGATAAGGCCGTGCCCCAACTGGCAGCAAGCGTCCCAGGGAAGCCAGACTCACCGTGTCGGTGGTCGCCGATACGACAGCGTACCCCGCTCGGGGTAAATGCAAAGTTGAATAGCCCAAGGAGAGGCTGCAGATCGATGGGTGAATGGGGGAATGTATCGGCAGTCGGATATTACGCTCGACACACTGCATAGAGTACAAAGCACACCTGACACTTTTTTTGTGTTGGGAATTGGGGGTGGACGTGAGGCAGGAAAATGTGCTGCAGTGATGCCCAGTAATGTGTGTCGTGATGTAGACAGACATGGCCTCGTCCCTTTTAGAATGATGGAAAACGACAGAAAGAGTCCAGCCAAGCAGGCGATATATCACACTTCTTCTACTTGGCTTTTCGACTAATGCGTCCTCTAACCCCTGTAGTATATACTTCGTATCGATATGATTATGCAATTAATTCCCCATCAGCAGCAAAACGTCCTGCCTCTTCAAGCCTGTTCTTCGTCTTTCTTCTTTTCTCCTCTCCGTCACCCCCGGACGCCAGCCCCCACTTTTACCGCATGCTGGTCCGTGCACCGGCGACACACGCCAAACGCCCAAATTCAGAGAACCGGGAATGATTATGTAAGCCTGGAGCGTTCAGCCTTGCGTCGCGGAAAACACGTGCTGGTTGGCCCAAAGCTGGGCTTTGCTGCGTCGGTCATCTTTTCTGCATCATCTTTTTTCAGCAAGAAACTTGACTGAATTGATTGCATTTGACAACCCTTTTGTAACAATATTTCGAAGAAACGAAACATATTCACGGCTTACGAGCTTAAATATATTCGATCCATTATCTTTGGAAACACTCTGTTCTTCTATCTTTTGCACCACCGTTTGAGCAATCCCGAAACGACGAAAAAAGATATCGCTATCGCGAGATTCTTCAGCCTTGCGACACCGCAGCGACTTTCCCTCCAACCAACCAGCCAATTCACCGGCTAACAACGGTCTTTTCAACCAACAATCACACCATCATACAATCATCCCACCAAAAGCAAAGCAAATAGACAAAATGGCCGTCCCACCAGCATACCACGAATCCCTCCCATGTACGTTCATTCCCTCTCCTCCCTCCCATCCCAAAACACCAAATATCAAAGCAAAAATCAAATCCAACTAACCTCCTCCTCACAGACATCGACCCCGAGCCCTCCTCCGAAGCCCTCTCCGCCGCCCGCGCCCTCATCGCCGCCGAACAATCCACATTCTCCCCTCCACCCCCTTCATCCTCAACACCCCCCCAAGAACCATCCTTCTCGCCCGCCATCGCCGCCGAACTCGCCCGCATCGCATCCTCAGCACCATCCCAACCCCTCGACCTCTCCCGCTACGAAGCCCAAGAACTCCCTCCCCCTCCCACAAAGAAATCAACGCGCTCCAAAAAGACTTCCTCATCATCCTCCTCGGTAGAAGCATCACGACAACCCCTCTCAAACGCCTTCATCTCCTCCTCCTACCTCTCCTCCCGCGCCCAAAACCTCTCCCTCCTCGACTCCCACGGCCGCAACGCATGGCTCCTCTCAAACTACCACCTCGAAGCCGAGCTCCGCAGCCTCGAGCGCGACCTCGCCGCCACGAAGCGCGACATGGACCTCCTCAACGCAGCGCGCGCGTCCCGCCAGAACGAGGTGAAGGGCGAGATGCAAGGGCTGGAGCAGAACTGGCGCGAGGGCGTCGGCAGGGTTCTCGAGACGGAAATCGCCGTCCAGGAGCTCAGGCAGCAGATACGACAGGAGCTGAGGAGCAGGGCTGCCGCTGCTGAGCATGCTACTGCCTAATTGCGACATCAAAGAGATAGGGCCTTGTTTTTACTTTATTTTACTTTTCTTACAGTTTACTCCTTTTCTCTTGCTTAAATTCTCTTTAGTATTTCTCTCTTTTTTAAACTTTTGTTTTCTCAAATGGAAAGGGTTAATGGACAGTTATGGGCATCACAATTACAAGACATACGGAAAGCACAGCTGGCGTCAAAACGACCTTGATTAGGTAGCTACAACATAAAATAAAACTACACAGACATCTTGATATGAGGTACAATATATTCTTTTCCTGTAACAAACAAATAATGAAAGTAGGTCGGGGAAAAGGGAATTACGGTAGTATCAGAATGTGTAATCACCCCAAGTCAGCCCTCAAAGAGATATTGGTCGCATTGATAACGGTATCAAACAAGGTATCTGCTCAAATAGACAATGTCTCAAAGGGAGGGAGAATAACGAGGGTGAAGATGTTAGGGGTAAAATATGATAAGGAAAAAAAGCAAAACAAAGAGTATCCCGAAAACGCCGGTAAGCCGTGCCCGTTACATAGGGCCTCCGATAAAGCGAGCAGTCGTTTGCACGAAGTCGCAATCGGCCATGTAAAAATGCAACCCTTTTGCCAAATGCCCCAGCCCGCTCCCGTCACTCCCGTAGAACCGATCTGAGGAGCCCATCTATGCTCGGTACCCTTTTCATGTCCAGAAAATCCTGCCTCTTAAACTGCTAGCGTCATCACCACACCTGTAACTTATACCCGTGCAGACATTATACACCTTGAAAACGATACAAACGTACACATAAGGATGCTCGCTCGTTCGTTTCTTTCTTGTGGCAGCTTACTGCTGTAGGGGGTCCATGTCTTCCACACCCGTCTTGACGCCCTGATACCTTGTCCTTCGGAGGAGGCCCTCGACAGGGCCCAAGAGCCGTTGGAATGCGTTCTTGCCCAACGTGGCCACCTTGACGTCCGTCGAAGCCACGACACTAGCGGCTCGCGGAGCGTCGTTAAGCAGCGCCAGCTCGCCAAAGAAGTCGCCCTTTTTGTATGACAGCACCTTTTCGTTTCCCTTGAATGCGTCTGCCTCGCCGTGCTCGAGGAGGTAGAAGGAGTGGCCAGGGTCGCCCTCGTGGATGATGACGTCTCCTGGGGCGAACTTTTGTGTTTCGAGGGCATCTGCAATCTTGGATCGTTCGTAGGGGGTAAGCGAAGACAAGATGGGCACTTCCTCTAGGAAGCTCTCGTACATCCGTCTACGAGCAAAGGTAGACTCCATGAGGATACGACGGAATGTCACTCGGTCCAAAGCCCACAGGGTGCAGCTTCCCTCGGCAGAGATGATGGTTGCTGCACGAGGAGCGTTGTACATGAGAGCAAGCTCGCCAAAGGAGCCACCAGCCTGGACGCTGCTGACCTTGTTGCCCAATCCATCCGGGCCAGGCTCAATAAAGCCACAGGGGTTGACATAGACATCAAACGAGCCACGCTCAACTACGTAGAAATAGTCACCAGCATCTCCCTGGCTGATTACCTATTTGTCGTGTCCATTAGTAAAATGAAAGAAAAGGGAAATGTGTGCTTTTCTTGTTGTGCTCTGCTTACCTTGATGCCCCTGGCGGGAATGGGCTTCTCGACAAGAGCACCCAGAATCTGTGCGCTCTGTTCATCGTCCAAGTGGTTGAAGAGGAAGTTTCCCTCAATGGCATGCTTGAGTCGCTCAACCTGCTCGGGGGTCTTTTCGGTGAAGGGAGGGGTCCAGTTGTCGTAGCTGTCGGCGCTCGGCTTCAGCGACTCTGCTGAAACGGACGTCCGACGTCCAAAGTTGTACTGTGCCGGATAGCTATCGGTGGTAGGGGGGGCCCTCATGGTCGGTGGAGCCTCGGTAGATGCGTCGCCCCCAAATGCTCCTGAGAACAAGGGGGCGCCGGGGGCCAGATGATCGCTCTCGTCCTCCTCAACGACGCGGTGCATCACGTTGGGTGATGCCATGGGCGACGTGCTGCCGCCAAAGGGGTTGGCGTTGGCCCCAAAAGGGCTCGAGAATTGGCTAGACATCATTGCAAAGTGGCTGGTAGGCGACGGAGAGAATCTTGGCGAGGGGGTGCCTCGGTCGCGGAAGATGGAAATGCTCGCCGCTCGTTCGGATGCTAGTCGCGAGAGGAAGAAGTCGGCGCAGAACTGGAGGATATCGGAAGGACAGGTTTGCAGAACCTGCCGGTTGAGAGCTTGGATCTCATGTTGGTAAGCTTCTGGTAGAGACATGACCAGTGAAGAGTGTTTGGGTGACGGCTAAGTATTAAACAGATAATGACGTAAAACTCGACAAGAAAGAGGAAGCAACTCGGAGAAGGAGCGTATTTGAAAGGTACAGGTAAAGAATGACCGGAGTGAGTTGGACCTACAGCTTGCGCGGGAGCGGGTCTGGGATGTAGAGCCGTTTTGTATGCGCGAAGCTGCGCGACGAGAATTAGCAGCACGCTACCAGGCGGCCGGGGTGCAGAACCGGGTGGCCCGCCATCGCAGACAAGAGGACGGGAAATTCAAACGGAGGGGCCAATCGACAAGGGCCGCAAGTCGTGGGCATTTGGCACGCCCCCCAGGCCAGGTCTGAGGGACGGCGTCGTTACCGGGGAGGCCGAGATGCGAACGACTAGAGGGAAGAGCAAGGACAAGGGCTCGCTAGCACCCGATCGGGCGGCATGGCAATGGGCTGGGCAGGCATGACAGGAAGAAAATGAAAGCAAAGACGAGGGCAAACGGGCGAGACTGGGGGCTGCAGGACGGCGGCAAACGAGGCACAAGACGCAGTGAGTTGACAGCCAGAAAATAACGGTGGCGGCCGAAACGTCAACCCAGCGCGCTATCTGCTGCGTCTGGAGCCGAGGAAGCTGGACAGAAGGGGAGACACAGACGAGAAAAAGAGAGCTTGTGACCTACCAGCAGTAGCGGGTGCAGCGGGCGAAGGATACGTCGACAAGGCTGCGGCAGCACGGCGAGATTAGATGAGGAGCTGAGAGAGAGAGGCGCGAAGAGAACAAAGACGAAGACGAGGATGGGGACGAGGGGACGAGGAGGGGTCGTGCGACAGGATCAAGCGTTTGGATCGACCGAAGGACGGGCAAACGAAGGGAGAAGAGGGGCCGAGCCTAGAAGGGCGAAGCGGAAGACGGCGTGGGGAAGAGAAAAGATGACGAGCCAAAAGGTGACGGACGCTGCGAACGAGGTTTGGTGGGCCTTTGCCCGGGGGATGGGATGATGGGAATGCTTCAATGATGCTCGCGGGTGGCGATGCTTGTGCTGTGGTGGATTGATTGAGCCTGAGGGATGATGAGAGGAGGAGTTTCCAGCGGGAAGAGAAGCTTTCCTGAGGCGCAAAGAAATGGGGGGGAAGCACAGCAGCTGGCAGAGTCGAGAAGCTGGGAAGAGAGCAATAGCCACCACGTCAACGCAACGCACAGCTCAGCACAGACAGAGACAGCACAGCACCAACCAGCAGCTGCCAGCCCAGCAAAAAAACCTTAGACTTTTAGTTGGCACTTACCTGGGAATTAGCAACTCGAACTAGCACCAGCTAGCGGGCGGGAGCTCTCGTCCAGGTTGCTGCGAAAATGAAGCTGAGCCTAATCAACCGGTACAGAAAAGCCAGTAGCAGAGAGAATGCAGAGGTGGGGGAGGCAAAGAGAGGCGGCCGGTGGCTCGAGACAAGGGCCCTGCGGAAGCTTTCTAGAAGCGTCGCACGGGCCTCACGTCCCCACCCTTTGCCCTCCAGCGCTGTTCCGCCAGGGCTTCCGCGGCTTCGGTGCAGGGCTCTAGCAGTGTGTACAGGCTACAGCTGCTTCTGGCTCGCTGCGAACCTTTTTAGTGGGTGTTGCCACCTGGGGAGCGCTTTTGGCTGCTTTCTGGTGTTGAGCATGTGCCAACGCAGGTACATACTGTGCGTGCGTGCCGTGCAGTTTGCCAGCAGGTACATGCTCGTACATTAACATCCACACATCCAGGTTGATCAATCTGATGCATCATCATTGATGCCGTCTCCAGCAGAGGTACAGGTACAGATACTGAACCCAGCATCAGCCTGCAAAGTCATCCATTGATGAGATGACTCAGTCCTTCTGCCACATCGTCTCGCCTCGCCTCGTCAGGTACCTATCAGCAGCACAGGCAGGCAGACAGGCAGCACAGCATGGAGAATCTCATCTCCCACTCTCCAAGAAGGGAAAAATACCAGCACAACGTTTCTTCTAGTCTCACCCATCCAAAACCCTGTCCGGTACATGACTAGCAGCACAGGCACCCCGTACTTGCATGGGCTTTCATCTCGTGGCAGTGGTGCTATTGAATTTCCTCATTTCGGGTCCTTTCACGCGCCCTGCTCCTAGTGGGCAAGGCCCTGGACAATCTGCCTAGCTCCAGCTACCCAACCTGACAAGCGTAAATGAGCCTGAACCTTTTTTTTCCTCCCCCCTCTACTTCGTACCTTACTGTAATGGATGTTCCTTTGTTTCCTTTCAGAGGGCCCAGCCAAAAGACGTGGATGATATTTGATGACTTGTAACAAATCCCTCAATCAGCACACGTCTTACTCTGCACCACCAGACCAGACTGAGGTAGGTACCTTCTACGGTAAGCACTTAATCTTTGACCCGAGAGAATTCCAGCGCGCAAAGCACGTGTACGATACCTTACACAGAGAGAACATGGAATCCAGTACATAAGGAGGTTTGCGAGTTTCGTACCGTATTCACGCGATTGGCACGGCGTACTCCGCCGGCCACAGTGCAAATTACGGCCTTCGCAGGTGGCGCACCCACGCCTTTCTCTGCTCATGTCCTTTCGGAGATGACCATGAGACAACGAAGAAGGAGGGATAGTTACGACGAATTAAATAAAAAATCATGCCATGAATCTTACAATCCGCATTTTTATTATTTCACATGTTTCTACAACTGCGTTTTCCTCGTGATTTGTCTCCTGCTTTTCTTATTGCAACCTGAGCTGCTTTGATCGTCGTTGTTGGGCGTTGGCTGGGCGCATCGCACTCTCAATGCCTGCGCAACGCTTCTCGTAACACGCACTGGGTATCAAGTACCGTCATCTGCCGGCCGTTAAGTGACGTCGTGGCTAACTCGGTGGCGAAAGAGGAAGATTACATTCTTCTCTAGTGGCCATCAGGACGGATTCAGGAGTAAAGAAGGTGTCTTCCTATCCAGGTTAGCCAGCCAGCCAATAGACAACTTGCTGGATGTGTTTGATGGTACCCGAGTAATGGATGCCTCTTCGCAAGGCGAGACTGCAGTGCACCAGCTCAATTGTCAGCGCTTCACGACATGCTTACGGATGCTGCGCTCGAGTCAGAGCCCGCATCCTTTACAGATGCCACGGAATATCGAGATATACTATATATAGATACATATGGCTATTCCGTGTTGTTTTATTTCTCGCATTAAACACCACCTACTGCTTTAGCACCTCCTAAATAAATATCACGAGTAAGACGCTCACGCCGGCGGCCAGCAAGATGCGCTGCCGCCATTGGACGTGTACCACCACCTTTGCCGTGCCTCGCCCCCATTCGTCTGTATGTACATGTTCGCTTGACCCCTTCGCCTCGTGGTCTGTTTTGCCTTTGCCCCCTGCCACTAGGGTATCGTTCCATACAAAATACAATTCATAGATGAACAAAATCAACCATATAACCCCCCCCTTGCCTCAAGAAATAACAACGCTGTGGTGAAGATAATTGCAGCCCGGCAACGCCGTTTGAATCCCACCGTTGTGACAAATATTACAGAACAAGAAAAGCAAATAAAGGAAGAAAGATCAAGAGAAAGAAAACAAAGTAAAAGAGAAGCAAGGCAAGGCAACGTATACCCAGCTTTTGCCAAGGTTAGTCAAAGCCTGCAGCTGAGCATCTGTCTGCTCCGAGTAAGGCTGAACCCCTGCTGAACCAACTGCGATCCATCCACTCTATTCCGGTGTGGATGTCCTGTCAAAATCCCGGCATCCCATAGTCATAGGTGCCCTGTCAGCCACTTAATCTATCCAAAGCCGCTTACCCTGAAACCCCCCTCCCCTCTATCGCGTTTGGGAGGATATTCTATTCGGCATCGCCGTCAGGGTGTCTTGCTCAGAACGGCAGCAGCAATGAGCGGCCAAAAACGCTTCTTTCTTCTTTCTTTCATCATCCGACGGCGAGACACGAGTCCAAGACGCTATCCAACATATCCATGTCGGGGTTTTCTGCTCCCTCCCACCCTATTTCGTTATCAATATCCATATTATCGGGGAGTGCGCCGTTGGTCAATGCCAAGTCGCCATTGGCCACGAGTTCCTCAACTGCTGGTGCGGGTGGTTCGCCGTTGACCCAAGTGTAGTCTTTCCAGTTTTCGAGCTCGCCGTCTCGGTACCCGTAGAGAATCTGCGCTGTAACAATGGGGAACTGAGATATGCCTGAATCTGCCATTTCCAAGGCGACTCGTACATCTGCTATACCCAGTGGGCCTCTCTCACTGGCAGCCTTGGACTCGATAGGTAACAACCCTGCTTTATCTCGGGTGATTTCGCCTCTCTGTGCTGCGTCTTCTTCTCGGTGAAGTTGCCGACTGTACTTGTGCGTCTGGATCCATGTGGTACCTACTCCGTAGCCCGCGCTACCAGAATCGCCAGGCCCATTACTCCGAGTGCGGCTGAAGATTTGCGTCAAGACTTCTTTAATAAACGTCTCGGTAGCAACAGACATGAGTTGAGACGCATCAGGTGCATGGCCGTTGATAAGCCCGGCCTCATAACAGAAGGGAAGCATTCGCCCGGCTATTTGACCCATATCAGGAAATTCTCCGGATTCGACGGCGAGAGGTTGTGTATATCGTTTTCGAATCTCCAGGTCAAAGTCTAGAATCAAAGTTAGGAAAAGAAGAGAGCAAGAGAACAAGACTTTTGGGAGTAAAAATCCAAGCCAATCCACTTACTCATGTTGTTGATACCGCCAGCTGCGCTAGGGGGCACATCGGCAGCCAAGGAGGGTTTCCGGTGTGATTCGGTAAACATATTTGCCAAGCTCTCATGAGGATCATACTGTTTTCAAGATTTGGTTAGTAATTGGATAGTAGCTGCAAGTTAAGAGCTGATGATAACGAACCTCGTTTTGTGTGAGCTCCTTGATGCGCCGTCGATCCCGTGCGGGTAGTTGCATCACCTCTCCCTTTAGCCTCCGTTCTGCTGCGTCACCCGACACAGGTTTGCTGCCTGTCGTTGTCGTGGGC